CGTTTCTTAACACTCGCTGCCATTTTCCAAGATGGCTAACCGCGTTGTTACTAAGCGAACAAATCAACCGTGCTACGCAGCGACGTCGCGTTCCCCCCCTCCCCTGCGAATTCCTCGGTGCTCTGCGCATCGAGTTCCGGCCAGGCAGCGCGGGTTTTTCCTCTAATTTAAACCGCTCGAATTCGCATGAGCCGCGTGTTTTTGCACACGGTTGTTTCGCTCGAGCGTGGCCCCGCTCGTAACCGGCGACCCGGACAACTCCGTCGTCATAACTTGAGCGAGTTACCGTCCATGTCAAACGTGACTCGAACGACGCCAGCTCCAATTACCAGAAGTCTGCGTAAAATAAAAAAAAAGAAGAGAATTCCGCATCGCCGGTGCAACCACGAATCCCCAGCATTTTTTTTTTACCACCGCGAAACGAACGACCGCGCAATTTGTCGCGGACAACCACTCCGGCTATAAGTCATCGAAAATTGTCATTGCAATTTATCACGGCCGGCCCGCGGGAGTAATTTTATTTCCGGTCGCCGCGGAGCTTCCGACGAGATTCGTCGTTATTTTCCATTAGGCGCGATTTACCCCGGTGATAAGGAACGCTAACCGCGTTCAATCATCCTGGCAATTACGGTCGTCCTACCCGGGCGTTAAGCCGCCACGGAGTTTTACTTCGGCGAACCCCCGATGGAAATTCTTCAGGGTGGGATTTTCCTAACACCGACGGATGCTTGTACGAGATAAAAGTACCGGTTGTTGACGCTCCCGAAGAAAGGGATGAAAAAATAATAGCCCAGCCGCGCTAGGGAAACGAACGTTTCGAGATTGAAGATGAATTTTACGTCGATCGTTTTAATATTATTTCGAGTTCTGGCGGTGTGCCATTTTTTCCGATGGAAACGAATTTAATATATTCGGAGCGGACGGAGGTAGTAAAATTTGGAGGGGCATGAATAGAAAGACGCATATTAAAAATTTACGCCCGACCGAGGAGCACGCGAATCGAGCGGAATATCGTGACTATTGATGGAATTCTAAATAAATATAAATATTTATATATTTTTGGCGAATTTCCATGCACGAAAGAATGGATCTCGTAGAGAAAGTTGCGTGTCCTGGCGACTCGAACTCGAAATTCAGATTTCGATCGAATCGAGGTTTCATTAGCAAGAATTCCGATAAAAACGTCTCGTCCACGTTTTCTTGGGTCGACGGAATACGCTCCGGGTTTCCGGGTTCTGTGTTCGTGCGCGTGCAACGCCCGCTCGCTATTCAGATATTCGAGCTCGCGCGTATCGCAAACACCAGTCATTTGAATAAACGAATATCCACTCGAACCGCGATAGCGTAGCCCGGAGAGATTTCATGCGCCTTACAGCGTGTTCGCGGTTCCTGCAAACCATTCGAAACAATTTCCAGGGATCAGCGCCGCTATTCACCGGAGCGATAATAATTCAACGGGCGGTCGGTTCTAGGATTTTCGATCGCGAACCGTGGAGGACCGCGTCCATCGATTCAACGTTCTTCCTTTCGAGTTCCGTTCGCGCGATCTATATACAATTCCCTCCATAAAACCAAAGAATATTTGTTCCGGTTATAGCTCGACTTCATAAGCTACCGCGCTTAGATAGAGGCCATAACGTAACACAGCTATCGTGTGTCCATAAATATTGATGAGCTTCTAAAGTAAAGTCTGCCACTACACGTCCACCGAGATAAATGGAAATATTGTAGGTAAATTATACGTACCGCGAGGAAAGTCCACGCTCTTTGCCGCGACCTCGATTCCCCGAAACGAGATACAACCCTTCGCGCCACTCCCCCGTATCAGCAGATTTCTTCCCTTATTTTCTCTTTGCACGTGGAAAAATGTTACATTTCATGCCAAGAAGAGTACCTCGTCTCCGTGACGTTCTTAAATTATTTTTTATTTTTTAAACACTACAAGCTCTGATGCAGGCAATCAAATATCTTATCATGGACCATGTTTTTTCCCATTCCTGGGGAAATAATTTGCGATTCAGCAGAATCATCAAGGTGGCTCATCCTGTTTAGACGAGGGTTTTCAACGAGGATCGGATGAACGGGGGCAACGTCGCGCGAATGCAATACGTTGCCGACGCGTTACTGAAAAGTCAATGAGCGAACGAAGAGCATACTGGGGCGAGAGTTCTGGGAAAGCCAAAGAGCGGTCCCCCGAGTGCACGGAAAAGCTCGTTATAAGCTCTTGGGGCTTAGTTGCTGCTCCAGAATTAATTAAACCGTGCGCGTGGTAAAGCGCATAAAATATCTTGAAATGTCCCCCTACTAGGCGCGCGACGGATTTATTATATTGCTGTTCTCCTGATCGCTACGAACGTTTAAATAACAGCCAAGCTTGCAGAAATAGAGAGAAAGAGAGAGAGAGAGAGAGTAGCAATTAACGACGCAAAGTTCTTGCTCTTAATAATCCCAGTTTCCTTGTATAGGATTTCTAAACTCATACGGATACAAATTAAGAGCAGAAGTAACTTCTACGGTGCAGATGTCACGAACGATATTTGATCGTTAGGTTCGTTAATAAGTTGAAATTTCCCGCCATTTACCCCACTGTGCGTCACCAAATTACGCGACAACCTGCCATTTTGTACCTTTCAACGCGCTGCGAAACTTCTTCGTACGAACGTTCCACCTTGTTTAGAATTAGAATTAATTACAAGAAATGACATGGAAACTATTGCATTTCGAAAGGAAAGAATGTCTATCCTATAAAAGGTGATCGTTGAAACGATTACGCTCAAAGGAGGGGTTTAAACCCTTAACAGTACATTATGAGCGATACTCCAGAGCGAAGGGGTGGTCGTTTTTCTCGAGCCAGGCGATCGAGAAAGCAAGTTACGCGAGAATGCACGTTTCGAAATTACCATAGCTGGAACATCGAGTCGAGGGTCGCCTCCTATTCATGTATATTTATAACTCACGCGACTGCATACGCGTTTTCAAGCGACGCGACGCGCGTGTATCGGTATTTCTTTTCACGGTGATGGATTACGAGAAAAACAACGGAGGACGATACCAGCCCCCCGTCAGCTAGGGGGGGGGGGGTGGCTTTTCTCCGACGCTCTCGTCCGACCCATTCTCCGCCTAATTCACTCTTAAGCCGAAGCGTAATGAGCTCTGATCTAATCTAATACCATCCAATCTCCTTCTGGCTATAGCCTACATCCCGCGGCTATAATGGTTCTCCGCGGAGCGAGCTATAGGCGCTCTATACGCGCTTTTCTATTCAAGAATGTCTCTATTCTTCCCTCCCGTGCCCCCCTGCCCCCGACAACTTATTTAACCGGATATGCTCAAGGGCCCGTCGGGCTCTCGGCCACGTTGTGTCTCGTTAAAGAATTCCTCTTCCTCTTTGCGTTTCAGCTTCGCCGGAGAGCAACGATGCTACGCTCCCCGAGACGTCAAAGAGAAACGCTTTTATGGACACTTCGCGTGTAATTGGGTATTCAGGTGACACGATAAATTGGTTTGCCGTTTAATAGCGGACCCCCGGGTTATCTTTCTTACAACGACCGGGTGATTAACGTCGCCCCCGCGGCGTCACGTATCGCCTGTGAATTTTTAACCGGCCTTTATTGGCCTGGCCGACAAGCGCGCGCCCCGCTTTGTACGAAGAACGACTGCAACAACGATTACCATGCAAATAGCGAAATAGAGGAACATTAATATCCGGCTACCGTGATAATGTAAGGGTTACAATTCACCCGACGGCGGGACTTTCGCGGGAATTCGGGCCGCGTTATCGCCGCATTTTCATAAACGTCGCGCCCGCGACACGGAAACCACCGCGAAATTCAACGTCTAACGGGAACGAGAAATCTAATTTCCACGGTTACCAAACAATTCAGACTGAAATCAATTAAATGACAATTTCGTTCGTTTCTGGTATTCGTATTTTCGATACTCGTTTTAGTCGTTCGTTCCGCATCGAGGTTATTCGTTTCCCTGCACTGAAAATCGCTTCGCGACGCGCTCCATTTTCCCGGTGTGCTCTAATAAGACGTTCGTTTCGTCGTTTTTTTGCACGCATGGAACGCATCGACGAAGCACCGCGTCGCTCCAGCAATTTCGCGCATCGAAAATTTCTTTCTCTTCCCGAAACGAGCGTCGACTAGACCTATCACGCGTACAATAAGAAGAGAATACCAGTAGCGGGGTAGGGAAAAACGAGGGAGATTAATAGCGCAGATAGGTACATACAGATCGATAGACAGATTCGCGGGCACGGATAGCGATATTCCGATAAATTATTGTCGCAAGAGTTAGTTGAAATCGGTGTAACAGGCGAGAAGGCTGTGTATGGCTTTATTATAATTACTAGCTGTATCGTTCGATACGAGAACGAAAATTTATCCGTACGTGGGTATCGAAATAGATTCACGTTCGAGGGTAGAACGGTATTTTTCTGCAGCTGGTTAGAAATTATAACATCGCGCGAAGCACGGTTTAGCCGACGAGCGAACAATAAAATGGCGCCGGGGGGGGGGAGTCGCGAGGGCGAGGACGTCGGAGCGTCGGGGTAAATGTTCGCTCGAGTCCGATAGCATCGAGCGGGCATTGTTTTGTCGCCCGCGCCGTAGAATAATGTATTGAAAAAATATAAGAGAAACGTATCGAGTATGCAGCGATGGCTCGAAACGCTCGGATTCGGTTCGAGAACGCATCGAACTCGGATAGAGCAAATAGAACGTTCCTTCGCCCTCCCGCGCAAGGGCGACCATTGAAACTCCGGAACGGGCAAGGTATTCGATATCAGGCTGTTCCGGATTCCTGGAGGCGTTTGGTATTTATACGAAGGAACACCAGAGTCAAAGCGATCGAGATGTTTACGAAAAGTGGGAGGACGCGTCGTGTGTTTACGTGCATAGAGGGTGGCGGTTTCGTTCACGGAGGGCGATTCTATTTGTCGAGATTCCGGTAAAAAAAAGCCGCCCTGACCGACGTGTTCTTCGTTTCTGTTGCAGATACTCTCAGCTTGGGGGATCGCACGATAGATAACATGGATCGACACTCGAGCCAGAGCAGACCACGGAATCAGCTGCTGGTGGATTCCGCGGGCGTCAAGTCGAAAGCGGAGCCTACGTTCGACTACTCGCAGAACACAAACGTCACGGCACTGATCGGAAAGACCGCTTATCTCACGTGCAGGGTTCGCAATCTGGGCGACAAAACCGTAAGTTTATTTGTCACGTATCGGCGATCGAGACCCCGAAACGAATTTCCAGCTTTCCGCGAACCTTTTTACCGTGGTGCTCGGAAGCTGTTCGAGCGAGCCCGGCAGGCGTGCAACGTGAAATATTGCCCGTGACAGTTCAATGTTTCAGAAAAATGCTCCCGCGATTTCTCCGCGTTATTCCACGAGGGTTTCGACAAATTTGTGGCAGTAAGGTAATTACAGCGAACGTGGGTGAGTAGGGTGGTATACTCCCGGCTCGGTAAGAGAGGAAAACCGGTCTCCGTAAAGACCTTAGGAAAAGCGATTTGCAGGAAATAATCGAGTTGCCCGGGCTCGATTGGACGTTAATCGACCTTCAAGGCAACTGGAAACTCAATTTTATCGCAGCTCGCGGTACCCGCCGTTACAGGTATTGGTCGATCGAAAGTAATCGACCAAGGGTACGCGAGCTACTCGAGTTATGACTTTGCGATCACGGTCTCGGATTATTGCATCACTGTCGCGCGTAGTAATACAATACTTGGCTTAAAAATTGAAAATCGTGGCCCCCCGAGTACTCTGGGAATCGAGGATCGGTGGTGAACTTTGCCACTGGTCGAAGGATATAATTAATTTATAGAATATTTATTATCAAATTGAAATTTTATTATACCGTAAATTAACTATAAATAGGGGCAAAATTAATTGATGGAAAACTCGTTATTGAATTAAAATTTTCATTCTAAACGAATTGATTATCGTCGTCGAGGATGAACAAAGCGATACAAGTATCTACAAATTTATTATAATAAAATTTACTCGGTACAAAAAAGAATATTTACAGAAGGATTTTAATTTCACAGCTTCCGACTGCTCGAGCCAGAGGAACATAAAGAATGATGGAATGATTCAGTGTCATTAATCCAGGGATGAAATTGTATTTTTAAGGGTGGAATCGGAGTATCTCGTCTGTCCGCGGCAGACGTTGCACGGCGATAAAACTAAGAGGATTCTGAATGAGAGGTTTTCTTGGTGTCGGTGCATCACAGGTTATCACCGCGTATACACGTAATCGTGTCGTAGCATGCCCCCCCCCCACCCCGCGAATCGATATTCAGACAAATAGGGAAAACTTTCTGTTCGTGGACCCGCGGGAGGGCTTTCTTATTGGGGCGTCTCGAGGCTGGAACTTCTTCTCGAAGTTCGTAATTACAGGATAGAACGGAGAAGACATTGTCGTTTCGCGGTAATCGTCCGGAGATTGGAATTTCACGTAACGGCGGTTAAAATGCCAGGAAACCCCCGAAATGAAGTTGACCTCAATTGTACGCTGGTCCGTTATTGGCGGTACAAACGAGAACGGGATGATTCTTCATCGAAAAAAAGTAAGTCGAAAAGCGGGGCAAAGCTTTCGCAGAAAATTTCAACGAAATCACGACATAACAAACACAAAATGCACGATTAGGTCGTGCGCTTTTCTGTGACCCGTATAAACGGGAAAACTGTGCTTAGGTATGTACCCAAAATTATTAAACATTCGCCGGGAAAAATATCTGCCCCGATCCATCGCGGTACATTGCGACTGACCTACAATAAGTTTCGAGTGACCCACGGGAAGTTTCAAGTGACTCACGGGGAACTGCAAGTGGGCCAAGATAAATTGCGAACGGTTCGCGATAAGTTTCAAGCAACGCACGATAAATTCGGAATAACAGGCGCAGAATTTCGACGAAACGACAGAAGTATTTTGTTTAATAATTCGATGTAACGCTACGGCTACAATGAGAATGAAAGGGTTGATAGGGATAAAATATCACGGGAAGTTTTCTTATACTATCATATAGTTTAACTTTATTCCTATGGGAAATCAAAAACAAACGACACGTTTGGGAAACCCAATGTGAGAAACACTGTGCTATATTATCACGTAATCGCTATTGTAAAGAATTTTTTTCTCGAAAATACGTAGGATTACAGGGGTATGTCTGTTGACCAAAAATTATTATAATTGACCCCGGCAGGTGAAAATAATTTTTTTAGAAAGATTTGAAATTTTTTTTTTCGCCGAAAAATTTAGGCACCTATTCGAATTTTTTTCTCGAAAGTGCGGAGGATTTCGGGGGTATGTCTATTGACCAAAAATGATTGTAATGGTCCCCCAAAACTTAAAATAATTTTTTCAGATCGATTTGAAAAAATTTATTTTCGCTGAAAAAGTGAGGCACCTACCCCCTGTCGATTTTTCTTAGAAACTCGTTTTTGCTTTTTAATAAATTTGTTTAACGCTGTACGGAAATGTTGTTTAGTACTTTTTTATAGGTATCGATGAGCTCTACTTCCATGCTAAATTTCAATGAAATCCATTGACTATTGTAGGAGTTATAGACGTTTGAAAATTGGATCATTGTTATGGGGGTTTTCTCAGTTTTTGGGGTTAAGGATCAACTTTTCGAATATTTTTAGAATTTCTACATATTCTCCACCAAAATACGCGTCGTTTGCCTTTTTGAACATTAAAATCCTCCAATCCGTTCAGAAGTTATGATGTTTTAAAGATGCGCCTGAAATTTCAGTGAAACATATCGACGGTATGGTCAGACATATAGATTTTCGGTAATGAATTTTTTTCTCAAAACTGTGTAGGATTTCGGGGGTATGTCTATTCATCAAAAATGCTTGTAATTGACCCCTGCAACAGAAAATAATTTTTCCAGAACGATTTGAAAAAATTATTCCACCGAAAAAATTTCTCCGGACGTTCCGGATAATTGGATTCCAGATAATCGAAACTCCGCTGTATATTCCATTTCTGGTATACGTAAATCGTTAATTTCCCGTAGATGAAATTTCACTACATTTTTCAAGGAATAGCCTGGTTTTCGATTGCGCCAATAACGAATTACACACACACGCGCGCGGACCACCGGGTTTTTTTTCGATCGAGCAAATCTCTTCCGTCATTAAATATTCCGGCAGCTTCCCAACCGAGTTCCGCGGTTGCGAAAAGCTCGTAGGCAAACAGGATTACACCGAAAGAAGGAGCGCGACAGAGATCGCGGCGAAATGCACGGGATCGCGCGACTGCAGACACGGCCGTAGCATGGAAACGAGGCCGTTCAATTTCGGCATTTCGGAGTGTGTAAACCGTATTAAGTAAATTCATTATACAGTCGGGGGCAGACGTGCCCTTAATTTCATTCGTTGTCCCGCGTCAGCCGTGGAATTCCATTTGCTCGACGTCCGAATTGCTAGGTCACACGGATTTCCTCGATACGTGATTCTCGCCACTTTGCATGCCACCTCAACACTTTTGGCATTTCATTTTCCTACGCCCCGGGAATTATTGACACTAGTTGCAACCGCGTTGCACGAGACCGACGCTAGATCCCTTGGAACACTGGCTGATTCCAGAAAACTGGAACAACCTCAAGCTCTTTTCGATTGATTTTTCATCAAACAGAATACGCTCTTGCATTTAATTCTTAAATGGATATATCATTTCCTGTGCACCGAATGAATATTCACAGAGTGGGGATAACCGTGTCTCAAGCCACGCAAAAGCCCCGTAAAAGTCTGTGGGAAAGAAAAGGAGGAAACGCCTGTGGGTGGTGATGTTGGCAAGTTCGCGCGTTGTGGAACGCGCGAGTCCATTTGCAGTTATGCTCGTACCAGTTTTGCTTAACGTTCGGCATTCATCATTTTGGACGTCTTTCCTTAGTTTCGCCTCCGCCCCCGTGCCCCCCGGAGCCCCGACGTCTCGATGGGTAAGTTTGAAAGCGCTAAACGGCTTCTATTCCCGTTGTAGTGGCAGCAGCGACGGCTGGCCAGACGTTGCTAGACGTAAACTTGCTCGAGTAAATACGCTAAGTGGTGCCAACGCGGCGTACGTGCGCGTACATAGCTCCAAAGTCGCCGGGAGACAGCTGCCTTTTCCGGTTTCCATCGGGGGATGAATTACGGCGGATATATCGGCTAGCGACCATGAAGGTTCATAAGCTCGCTGGAACGTTCTCCGACCGACTGACACGCGCCATTCGCAAACTTCCGCCATCGGTTATTAATGCCGATCGCTATTCGCCACTGACGTCGGAGAACGCTCGCGTCTCGAACTCCAGGAAAGCGCCACGTCGACCAACGAATGGAATATCAATCCAAAATGGACATTCCGTGCTCGTTAAAGCTCGCTGAGATTCTCAACGTTCCTCACGACCCGACGCGTTGTATAAAAATTCGTCTGTCCATAGAATTCGCGAATGGCCATTTTCGAGTATGTTGCCCAAGTTTCTCTATAGACATCAGCCTTTTAGCAACTGACAAACTCGTATTAAAAGAAGCTGTCCCGGCAGTGTCAAAGACGTTCAAAGTTAATATAAAAGTTGAGAACTCGTGCCAGGAGAGAGTCCGGGAAGTTTGCTGCCCGAGCGAATAAAAAGTTATACGCCTCATTGTTGCGATTTTGAAACGGCCAGTTTCCTCGCCCGTTCGGGACCTAATTAAAAACGTTTCGTTTCGCGAGTCACGAGGACGATCCGCGAACGGTAGAACCGTCGTAGTCTTAGTTTCGTGTTCGATTAAATACGAACACCGGCATTATACGCCCGCCTCGCGCTTCGAGCGATTTAGATTATGGAATTGGACGAACCAATCATCCGACTTAAACCTTCTTCCTTTGGTACTGCTAATAGCTCTTCCACGGCAAAGTCAATTTCTCGCGCCAATAGGCAACGAAATGATTTCTTCGCCGTGGTCCGGCGCTCTGATTTCTACTTTGCTCCGTTGAAGCGAACGCGATTGCAAGGATCGTTTTGCAGACGAGACAACGGATTATAAATAGGACTTTATTTGGAATTGTAAGCTTTTATTACGCGAAAACCATGCTTGTTTAAAAATTGTTTCGCCTCGCTGGATGGGTATTTCGGTGCATTATACGATCGAATAATCCAATCTTCCGATGGATTATTGACAGCGAACGAAAATAAACGTCTATTCAGAGTAATATCGACATAGACGTGCTAATTAAAATCGTTTCGCTTCACAAGCCAATTCCATGAATCTCTCCACCTGGCAAATCGAGCCAGGACCATTTATAGTCATTCCGATCCAATCCATCCAAAACTACCACTCACTTTAACGACTGCTTCCAGACACTTTTCATCAAACTCCTCGTTCATTCGACGTCGTACGTCTTTCCATCGGGAAAAACAAGATTGAATACAAACGGGGGTGCTATTTCAGAGACTCAAGAAACAATTATTTTAAAAAGATAAATTCTATCGAATTTTTATCTCGATTGCTCCTCGAACGACAATTCGCGCGAAAGCACTCGACGTCCCAGTTTTATTTTACTCTCTCCTATCCGGCCAATATAATACGTCTGATCGTTCGTCTCGATTGGATCCGTAACCAATCGGTCGATCTGTTTCGACAATTTCACCGAAACGATATTATTTTTGAGAAGACGAAGCGACGCCCGACGCCCGACGCGAAAACGAATTTGTCGGGTCGTTTCTCCGTGTCCATCGTGCGGGTTCGGAAAATTGCAATTGCACTTACCGGCACGGTTGGCGCGAAAACACTTCTACCCGCGAGACGACGTGAACTCGAAAACGTTCCACGTTCTTTGGCGACTTTGGCCGGGAACGAACTCACGGAACGACAGGTTTTTCGGTTCGCCGTAAACGCGGAAATGGAGGTACGCCACGGCGTTGCGGTGTTTCCGTATCAAGATTTGAAGGGGGTGTGGATTCGCGCCGCCACGGATGTAGCTACTTTCCCGTGCCAGACTTCCCCCAGAGTTTACTAGATTACTTTCCCGTTGCCGGTAAGAGCTCCGTAGCCGTGTGCAGGGCTGATGAAATTACCGTCGTCCCCGAAGACGTCGAAGTTCACCGGGGTCGAAGTTTAAATGTCTCCTTCGTCGAAACGAATTATGTATTACATGGGCGGGCGCGGGGGACCCTTGCGGATGACGGAAGCTCGCTCGTGCCGGAACTTCTGACCTCGCGCCACGGCTTCGCGAAATATTTAACGCCGCGGGACGACGGAACCGGTTCGACCTATCGATTTCGTGTCGACGACCATTCGTCTCGCAGATTCTCTAAACTAGCTCCAAGAATAAATATTAAACATTGCTTCGCGGACCGTCGAAACTAATAATTACATCGATTATTAATTTCTCTGGAAATAAACGCGACTTTAACATGAAAAATGAACTGCGAATATCAGACCGGGCTTCGTTTTAATCCGGCGGTAAATTTTTCTCGCCGATTTATAATTAGATAAAGCGTCGTTTTACGACATCAGATACAGCCGGGAAAATGTTTCCTTCTATTAACCACGCGGGACAACTTTATGCTTTTAGTAAAACTTGTTTTCTTGATGAGAAGCCAGAACCAGTAGTCGAAAGAAGAAAAGACCTTCCGCGGGAGTCGTATTAAGTCGGGACTTTATAGTCAGGCATTATAGTCGGCCCCCCCCGTGAGGCAGAATTATTCGACGCTATCCACATTCTACTTACTCGCAGTAACACATTCCCCTTAACCCGGAATTTTTTGTACGTCCTTCCTGCAATAACGTCGTTGGACAAAATTTGTAAATTCCGTCCACGGTGCTTTTTGTCCGTGGCAATTTACGTAAAGGAAGGCGTATATTTCCATGTAGACAAGCAAGAGTTGAACAAAAAATTGTATTACGAGAATATATTTGCCCCCCGCGTCGATATTATGAATCTAAGCTCCGAATTGCGCCACGGTTTGTTCCACCGTCTGAAATTGGCTCGCATAAAAATTGTATAAAATTTCCAGCGTGCCCGTCGAGTGTAGCCTCGAACACCGATCGCGGCTATCGACTTTCAAACGAAGGTAGTCGAAAGCAAGAACACCGTTTTAAGTTCAAACGCGAAGGTATCTCGTCGTCAGCGAATTCACTTAGCGATCAATCGGCGCTGTTGAATACGGCGCTCCGTTCTGGCATCCAGCGATAACAATCATTGACTCCTCTTTGAAATTCTGTTTGCAAAGGTTTCCTGGGTCAGGCACAGGGACATTCACATTATAACGGCGGGGGCGTACACCTACACGAGCGATCAGCGATTCCAAGCGCTCCACGGACAAAACAAAGGCCAAAACAACGAGTGGTCTGAATGGACACTTTGCATAAAATGGGCGCAGGAGAGAGACCAGGGACTCTACGAATGTCAGATCTCCACCATCCCCGTCAAGTCGCATCAGTTTCGCTTGAACGTTGTCGGTAAGTTCCATTCAACGCCCCTTCGATACGATCGAAAGTGATCTAAACAATACGAAAGCTCGGGACAAAGCGTAGAATAAAATTAATTCTATCGAGTTTGCGTAAACGTCCTCGATATTTTTCACGTTGATCATCGCGAATAACGTTTCCCATAATTAATTAAACGGAAATTCAGATTCTTAGAAGCGGGGTTCGGGTTTATTTCCGACGGAACGTCGGATTATCGTACAAGTGCGATTTATATCGATATCACTTTCCTCTCGAAAGGATTCAGAGAAGTACGTACCTACGGTTCCCTGGGTTCTCGATTGCTCTCGAAACATTTCGCGCAACAGCGATCCAGACGTATCGCGCGACCGCTCTACGACGTATCGACTCGTCCATTAACGACGCCCGGGGAGAAACTTCCTAACGTAATTGCAGGGAGCGTGATGTCGTTGATGCCGTCCTCATTATTTCAATTACAACGGCCTTGAGCCCCGATAACAAGCTTCGGCTCGTTAGTTCTCGCGGATCGTTGAAGCATCCTCCGGGTCCTTTTCTCTTCGACGAGTATCGTTTCCTCGAGTCCTCTCGGGCGAGAACAGCTTTCGCGACACGTGGGATTCCGCGATCACGGGATGGGAAAAAGGGCGCACAGACAGCGGGAGGAACAAAAAGGAAAGTAATATTCTCGGGTAGCGGGAGCCAAAGTATCATGGCGTTTCGTTCCGGACCCGTTGCCGCGGAGACTCGCGACGGGTGCTGGATGTCATATGGCACCCTGGTGAGCCACACCGTATTTCTTGCGGACCACGGACTAAGACACATGTGGAAACGGGGAGCCACAAAGACTTCTCGCCGCCCCGCGAAACGTATTACCGATTTTTATATTACCGTCGCGGATCGATAAATGTTCTCCGACCGCTATGAAAAGCTCGTAACCGTATATAACGCTTGATTGTTAACTTTAGTCTAAAAGCTAGCAATCTAGTGCTTCTCGATGGTCTGAGATATAGGTTAGATTGATGTTTGGTTGTTTTGGGAGAAGAAAAAAGGAATTCGTTTGTTATCTTAGTGCCGACAGCGACGATACTGGGCGGTCCGGATCTGTACGTGGGCGCCGGGAGCACGATAAACCTGACGTGCACCATACACTTCAGTTCGGAGCCACCGGCTTATATCTTTTGGTACTACAACGAGAACGTCTTGAGCTACGACAGTGTCAGGGGCGGCGTCTCGGTGATAACCGAAAAGGGTGGAGACATCACCACCTCTTGGCTCCTTATCCAGACGGCGCAACCCTCGGACTCCGGGGAATATAGCTGCAAACCCAGCAACGCCAATACGGCATCCATCAAAGTTCATGTCCTGAATGGTGAGTGCTTATACACGCGACTACGCGACGCTCCCATTGGGCGATCATCACCATTTCCGCGTTGTCTCGGTAACGGATCGCTACGATATTAATTTTCACACGAACTGGCTCCGATAGATGTTTCCTAACTCGTGAACATCGGGTATCTTAGACGCTGCCTCGAGAGCGTCTTTTCAGGATTCGAAATAAAGTATGCGAGTATGGTGAAATTAACGTTTGCGTGACACGAAGGGAATCGATTACGTTTCCCCTCGCGAGCGACCCTTAATTCGTTCCTGATGGCTGAACGATTTCTGACCGTAGCCGTCTACACTCCCCAAATTTTGCAAGCGTCGAGGGACCGCGCCGATCGGCCTATCAAAACTTGACGATTATGCAGCCGCGAAGTTCCACATGTTTATTCAGCGACGCTGTCTCGAGCGTCGACGTGTACGTTTGTCGTCGTGCTCGTCGTTCCCCGATACGAACGCGCCGGAGAAATTAGTCTCGTTAACGCAGCTTCAAATGAAATTCCTGTCATTTCTGTTATTGCACCCGCGACTGTAACGCGTCCCGGCATTTTTCATCAGCATTCTTCAACGACAACTCTGGCAGTGTCCTGCAGCGCGCGGTATTTCCGTCGCATATTTCCGCGGAAAGCTCAGAACGAAAGTTTCTTGTTTTTTTAATGGCGGAAATTCTTCGCCGGGCGCGGATCGATGCAGTGGCGTGTTCTACCTTCGAACGGCCTAAGACAAAATGCAATTTAGGGGTCCAATGAAAAATTTTACATGGCACGCCTGATCTAATAAATATTCTATTCTAACACCCTATCGCTCAAAAATTCGATACTTTTTAATTCCATTAAAAGTATCGACGCTGGCCTAGAAATCTCTCTAAAAGATTACATTATCGATGCAGATTTATATAGAACAATCAATGTAGGAACTATTCGAAACGGTGGAGTTAGGTGGTCCATCCTGTTAGCATACATACGTATCAAATTTATATCGAATTTCGGTTCTGGAGTATTTTTTCCCTCTGTTGGAATAACGCGCCATTGGATCGATGCTCGTTCGCGCTTCGAGCGTAACTCAACGTTTCCTGGCGGACAATGAGGCCAGTCGATCGTCGACGACAAATTTGTCCATGTAAATTACGGGGACTACGGCGTTCACGGGTCGAGGAATTCTTACGACGTTGCAAGGATCGAACCGAAATCGAGCGGAAATTGCATTTCGATCCGTCGCATAAAATACTTCGCCGCCGCGGGCGACGTTTAACGAAGAAAGAAGCGGGCGAACGGAACTTCGAGACGGTCGCCAGCCTTTACGAAACTACGGTGTCCAAAGAGTCGAGAAATATCGCTGGGAAGATACAGTCGGGGACAGTATTAATAACGATCCCTCTTGCTCGAATGAAATCGTGTTCGAACAACGTTTAAACTTTGACTCTTTGGTCGCTGTGTTTTGTCTCCGAGTTTCGAGAGTTGTTCTCCCCCGTTGTTCTTTTCGAAAACACTACGACTCGGTCGAGGGAGCATGATTTAGACGGTCTCCCGCTGCGCTCAGGTGTATTTTTCATCCGCAGCGTAAACAATCTTGCGAACTCCACCGTCTAATAATGCTGGATCTTCCGTGGACAAAACTTGTTTTCACGGAGACTGGCGGCCGCTGCTCGATACATTAAAGCACGACCACCATCTCGCTTTGTTGGAAAAGTGTTCCGCCCGTCTCCGACGCGAAGAAAAATACGACGGTCTAATGAATTTTCCTACCCCGCTCAATTAACAACGAGTTCCGCCGCGGCGAGCCCCGGTAATCGTCGTTAATTTCGCGTACGGAAACGTTCCTCGAGAGTCGCTTCGTCGGCTCTAGAATCTCTAACGATGCTTTCAGCTTCTCGTTCCTGGCGCAAAATGGTAAACAGACACATTTGCTCCAAGAATCCCGGGCGTTTATATTCGTTCGGAAATGCTACAACCGCTGGGACTACTTTCGAGTTGTCCTTATTTTCATAATCGCGAAGGGTGCTTTACCTTTTTAAGAATTTTATTCTAATCGATATCGGGAATGAAATGGACGCGAGCAAACGCTATGATAAGAACGCGTGACCTTTTGTTGCAGGCGAACGACCGGAGGCGATGCAGACCGGAACGGCGGGACCCATTTTATCCTCGAGCTGTCTTTTGGTGTCTCTGATCATTTTGTACATATCGTCGGTGTAAACGAACGTCGAACGACACGAAGCGTCGCCGCAACGCCGCTTAGGCCGAGTTTAAGTCCGTCGGGGTACGTTCTCGTTAAGTGCGCGCCATTGTTTGCAAGAATCGAGGGAATCGGTGGCGAATCGGTATCCCGACGCGCGAGGTATCCGAAAGTTGGCTGATATCGATCGTCGATCTTCGATCGAGACACAGAAGGTCCGGAAGCTCGGCTCGTCCCCCCAGCGAGAGATCAAAACGACGCGTACGATGGCTCGATACGAACAAACTTGAGACAGTCTGATAGTTTCTGAAACTTTATTTACTTACGATGGAAAAAATTTCTCTGCTTTGTATGCACTTTGACAGTTGAGGAATGTTTATCGAAGCGGACCCTGATAAAATTTTCTACCTAATCATCGTACGCGTGGTGTTACTCGAGAATGATAAAATATTGACGGGGGAATCGAGATCAACGAGCATGCATGTCGCGTAAACACCGACGAGAGTCGTATCTCGGTCGGAAAGCGTTTAGTTAAGGGAACGTCGACGCTAATACCGGATGTCGTGGCCATTCGGAGCGCATGGCCCTTCTATACGCCTCGTTCCGTTCCGAGGTTGACCATAATCCGACCCGATAATCCGCATCGAGGGAAACCGATTTACGGGAGGCGTAAAAGCGGGGAACGAGCGTCTCGCGGTGCGCTTTTACGGCTGGTCGAATCCAAGATGCAGGGTGCGCGAGACAGCACTCGCTTGGAGAATAAAACGTGACTAGACTGCTCCGACCCCCATGAATGCAAGAAAACTTTTTCCCCCCGAGAAGTGTCTCGAATCATGAGTCGTCTCTCGACCAGCGACACACCGGGGTCAGAACAGAATCCGCATAAATGTCAGCACCTGTCGAGACTGGCCGCGTAGTGTTGTGTTCTGACGAGAAAAGACTTGCCACGAGGGTGGCCCTAGTGTTTCGTGCCGCATCCCTTCCTGGATCTTTCTTCTGGAAACCTTGCGCAGTGGATTCTGGGTCCACTTTGATCCGAATATAAATTTCGTTACCTCACACTTCCAAGTACAAGGTCTTAATGAATAAAATACGAGTTTCGTTTGGAAAGATTCTATTGCGTTCTCGATTCTTTGTCCCGACGAATAAGAGCGAAAGTTTTAGAAGAATTCTGAAGCCAGCACGGGTCGAACTAGACCCGAACGACCTACATTCGACGGGTTATTATAACACAAGCGGGCTGATACTCATACGAATGTTAATATTCGGTGAAAAACGCGCGGAAATCCGTTCCAGCCGATTAACAGTTAGAATCGCAAACGTTCCGTGATTGAAAACAATTACCGGATATTATTATTGCCGAGCCGCTCGAAATAATCGCCGTGATATCCGCGCAACAGTCGCGTTCTAATTTTCAGAGATTCGAGAGCTTGTTCATTCGCGTAACGGGATAACACTTGGACGAATTTTCCGAATTATTTTTAACGCCACGCGCCAAAACGTCTCTGTCCCAATTCTTTGGCGCCGCGTATTAAAGCGCCAAATATTCGAAGACCGCGAAACAAAGGAGTTTCATCGATTTGTTTATACATCGCTCGACGGCGACAAAAATGTTTTTGAAACACGCTCGAGCGAAACGCGAGCACCTGGAGCCAATAAAACACGGTCAAAGAGCAGAAAATTCGCAAAATCTACAACGGCGCGTTCTGTTCGGAGTCGAAGCAACGAATCAAAAAATTCCTGTTGAAAACCATCGACGCAGCAGCGTTGGAACGCTTCCGGCGGGGCTGCTAGAGGAATTCCAAACGCGATCGAGCCCGAACGAACTCCAAAGAGGAAGAAGTCGTGATTCTCGCGATCGTCGTTTCACGCACACGCGTCAATTTGCTCCGAGCAAACACTTTGCGGCGCGAACGCGCGCGGGGGGACGAACACACACACGGATGATCCGGTATTAGCGCCGGCGGGCAAACACGAAATCTGTACATAAACGTCTGTATTATAAATTGTGGCCGGGCGATGGTAGTTACACGCCGACGACGCGAGGCGTGAATGCGTGCACGCGCGCCGCGCGACATCCTGCTCCGCTCGACGCGGCGCGCGAACCCTCTCTCACCCGAAAAACCGGTGATCGCGTTTTACGTCTGGAAATCGGGTTTCGCGGACCGGAGTGGCCTCGAGCGTGTCGTCTTTCGACAACGCGGGATCATCGACTCGAGAAGACTTTTCGACAGTGGACACGGTACGGGCAGAATTCTTGCTAGAATAAAATTCCGAATAACGAATGAAATATAGACTTCTCTACTTTGTCGAGTGAAAGTGTAAATTGTAGAATTTAAGTACCTCGCAGTGGGCAAACGCTAATCTGCAATCGATAAGTTTCGCGAATAAATATCTGTATGTCCGGTTTATTCGTCATCTGTTATTCCAAGAAAGTTTTGCCCGTTTCAGGATGGCCCGACAAATGATTTCGGTTGAATTTTAAAATAAGGAGAATACGCAGATGCAACATTGAGAAGCAGAGCGATGATCTAGCGTCGTGTTTCGTACGGTGGTCCGCAGACCGAGTGTCGCGAACTTTTAGACAATTTCCCCCCTCCGAGCCCCGAAGGACTTTTTACTACTTTGTACATTTTTCCTTCCTTTGAAAGGCTTCCCCGTCGACTGTGTGCGCGCGCGAATCCGCGAAAGGGCTGCGTCGAAAAGGGACAGGCGCGATCGCGACCGCTGACATTTCGGCGGACCATCGATACTCGGGACCACTCCGGCACGCGACACGCAACACGACAGTTTTCACTCTCTATTTGTGTGTGTTTCGATGTGATATCCTCGCAGATAACCCGCAGCGAAAGTATCGCGCGGACCGTTCCCGCGCGAAACACGAATCGAATCCCCTCGTCAGTTTTGTGTTCCTACCACGGTGGCGGTCGTTCCTCCCACTTGGATACCACGCAAAGAGTCGAAAGGAAAGGCGGATGTATTGCAGGGAGAAAGAGAGAACAGTCACGGAGCAAGGGGATCTCTACGAGTAAGTAGAATTGGGCACGCTGTCTGTCTTACGCCTCTCTTCTTGCCTCTTGCAAGTATCCCTAACGCAAGCTGGTGCAAGAAGCGAGGCAATACCGTGCAACGTCTTCTTCACTCCACAGAAGATCGGGAATATCGATCAGTATCGCACCATCGATGTCACGAGCTCGAATTTTATTTATCGTCATGTTTCTCGAGTCGCGAGCTTTCGTATTTCTTCGACGATCGAACGTAGTTTTTTTACTGTACGTCAGCGCAATATTCAGCTTTCGTTTTTGCAGTTTTAAAAATGTGTAGCTATTACTTTTTCATGGACCGATCGACTATGCTTACGTTGGAACAGGCTTTGCTGGGTCGGCGCCGCTCCATAGACGCTTGTTTCGAAAGTGGATCGTAATAAAGTACCAAAGTTTCGTTCACGGACAAGATCGACTTTAAAATTTCAGTTAACTTCGCGTGCTAGACTTGTGCTTTTCTTTCAGAAGGAATTTCTACGCGATATCGTCGTCCCGCTGTTCTTTGATTTATTTCGTCAAAATGTATCATTATCGCGGAATGAATTTATTTCAGCACGAAGGGACGCGATTTTCTCGTATTTCGAGATTAAAAAATTTGATAACAAAAGCAAAAATGAAGTAATTCGTTTTCTCAATTTCTTTCGCTCGTGAGAAATTTAAAACAAATAAAAAAAGAAGCGGCACGAAAATAAAAACACGTAAAAATTAGTTTGCGCTGGGAATAAATTCAAAATATACTACGCTACGTGTACGTACATGCATCCCTTTCGCGTTCCCAGTGGATAGGGAATACGATTTTATATACGCATACAGAAAACCACAACTAAATTCGCCCAAACGTACAAAAAGCACGAGTCGGCAAAACGAAGTAATCTCGAAAAACTGTTTTAGCAGCGAACGCTTTGGAAGTATAATCCTCGAGTATTAGGTTGAAATACGAAAAATTTACGAACTTCTGAGAATTGATAGATAACCGCGAGCGGATAAAAATTACGCGTCGTGATTGTTTAATCTTTTTAAAAGATCTGACGGATTAAAAACTTGAATGCAATTCCTTCTTCACGATTTTTTAAATGAATTCACGGTAAGCCTTCGATCAACAGCGTTTGAAGTTAAGTTTTTCACGCGATGTAGACGTCGATATCGTTCCACGCATAAGTTCATAACGCCACTGTTCAGCGTTCTAGACCAGGGAACCTCGTTAACGGGGTCTACAGCGCGAAACACCGTTTCCCCGGAATTTTTCCCGAAGCATCGACGCTGTAACTAAAATTTCCGAGCCGGCGTCTCGGAGCGTGACGCCTCGTTGCATCGAAAAATGTAATCTCTCGGTTGCAATTGAGTTCGCCCTCGTTGTAGCCGACTCCTTGCACGCAAATCGTTTTAAAAGTAACTCGAGTTCACCGTTCCGCGGGTGTATCCCGTGCAAAAGAGGCGCGCGAGTATTTATTTCGCGATGGTTGTTAGGGAATTCTTGTTCGAAGTCTCGAACAGAGTTTCGAGGGATCCTCCGTGGGTTTGGTCGACGATAGAAATTCGTTTCGAGCGGCTAGCCAATTTTCCATTCGCGACTGGTAGTAATTGGTAATCGCGCGGAGGAAAATGGAGACCCTCGAAAGACGAGTCCGTTGGTCTTTTGAATGGGAACGCGGATAGAGGGAGGCGCTTTCAGCGCGAGTTTTTCGAGGCTTCCCGGGGTTTATGAAACGCGAAACGAGGTAAACGCCGCGCGTCGCACGGAACGAGGCTGACAAAAAGAGCGACAGCGGGTGGAAACAAGAAGAACGAACGACGCGTTCGAAACAAACTCACCGGGATTTCGTCGGTACCGTTCCGGCTGGCCGAGTTGGTCGCGAATTGAATTCCACCCGGCGAATAGAATTCGATTCGGGGATCGTTGTTCCACGCGCGTCGGCCTCGATTCTGGTCCCGTGACCGTGCACGAATTCGCTTTGGCATCTCGTTGGCCACTTTGTTCCGGTCGCGCGCGCTAGTTTCGTCCCGCGAAAGGAAAAGCGATATCGCGGCTGACGTGGATCGAAGGGAAAAACGCGTCGATGTGCACCGCAAATACCGGGGGCGTCGGTCCACCCTTTCGACTCGAACCCGCGACCAACTGGGCGACGTTCCTCCGCCGTGTCGAGCGACCGGCTAAAAGCTTCGTTCCCATTAGCGCTCGAGGGTCACTCGTACCAAAATTCAAGACGCAGCAACTTCGAGCGGAGCATCAATTTCGTTCGAAAACGCTCGCGTCCGAAAACAACGTTATCGT